ACACCTATTCATCATTAATAGGTTTGATTGCGCGTTCGCGCGAACGAAGTTAGCGCGAATAGTTATTTAAACATTTTAGTCGCGCGAATGCATCGCGCCATCGCCTATTAGGACACCTATTCTAGATCAATATGTTTGATCGTCGACTCGTACGATGATCGCATCGCTCATTCGCGTTATCGCGTTGTATTAGGACAATGCCTTAGACACCGAGAGGCCGGACAGGACAGGAACGTACAGGTCGCGGCACGTAACTCTAGCGCTGAACAAAACGCGGAGGGGATAGCTGCGCGTGGGTACGACTGGAGTGGAGAGCTAATCGGCGCAACGCACGCCCACCCGCGCACCTCGTTTCCCCCAAAGACATCTTTATTTTTACTTCTGCGCAATAACGGTCAGCGCTAGACTTTCGTGCCGCGATTTATACGCGGGAATCCCCCCAAAAAATAGTGCTCATATAACTAGGCGCTACAACGCACACAGCAAACTTTAGTCCGCGTTGCGCTCTCGTCGCAAATTAAAGATATGCACCCAGTAACTATTCCCTTTTAAAACGTTTTCTTTTTTTCTTAAAATTCTTGTAAATTACAACACAACGTAATCTGAAAATTTTTCCTTCTATAGCGTGCGCTTCTCATTTTCGGATGACAAATTAATGTTCGCACGTCGTGTGTGTTGAGTCCATGTCAAGACCTCGGTGGACATTTTCTTCACGATTCAGGAAAGTCCCTCGTCTGCGCAGGCCATTAGTTAGTAAGAGTCTGACATAACCGTGCAGGTTATCCATAAGGAGCCCACTCATCCACTTAGCATTAGGGAAAAATGAAAAAGCGACTGTTGCGTACGCAGAGAAATTGGCGACCACAGAACACAGAAAGAGGTTAAAAGGGTGATCATTTACCGTTTATACGGGAACCAATGTTGCCGGATCGCCCCACTACACTTCCGCCTAATAATAGCCAATCAAACGACGCGACATCAAACAATCGAACCAATCAGCGCTCACACCCGAGTGTAACGACGCAATCAGAACTAAGTTTTGGTCATGTTATGAACATTTGCTCACACATAACTGTGGCGGGTCTACCCCGCCCACAAGGCCCTTCTAACCTCTTTCTGTGTTCTGGGTGTGCAACTTACTGTTTGTTGCAAAACCAAGCTCGCAATCTAGTTAAATGGAAGTTTAAGTTAAATTTCAGTAGGACTTCAATATGACATGACATTTAGTGTCACACACGGGCCACTCGCCACAGCCACAAACCTCGCCACGAGAAGCTAGAAGCGGCTACTAAAGTGGCTGAAGCGCGCGACAGCGACCGACTAAGGTAAGGGAGAGAGGGGTGGGGAATCGCGCGAATGACGTGTGGCTGCTTTTTGTATCGGCGCATTAAGTGGCCGGTGCGGGCCACAAGAAGCGAGCAACGACGATTTGTAGCGTGTGGCGGCCACCGGCGTACCGTGTGTAGCGAGTCTATATAAAATGTATGAAAACTACAAGAAATATGCCGGTGGCGGCGTTTTGTGGTTGTGGTCGGTGGCCCGTGTGCGGCGACACCTAACGTTAAGGTAAGTTGGTGCAACTGGCACTTAGTTTCGTATCGAGTTACCTACGTTGACTTTAGGTTTATTTAGTTCCTTACTTTAACTATGCAAATGCTTTTATGCTTTGTCAAATACGCAAAAAAAATATGGTGTGAAGATAACGGCGTTCACGAATCAATGATTGTCCGACCTTAAAACCTGAATATACTTAAATACAAATAAATTTATCTACACCATTATATATTTGGCACCAGTTTAGTCTAATAAATTTACCCGGTTGAACAGTGAATGGTGGCTATCTAACTTTAAGACTCATTTACACGATGCAATGTAGGGTGTATTCCGTAATATATACCAGTATACTGGCCAGTGCTAATGACGTCTTGAATCGACGCTATACTGGTGAATTGTTCCGAAATATATTGGCCAGTGCACTGACGTCATATATAGAGGACTATTAAAAATAGTGCGAATAAAGAAGATTTTTTGTTCACCTCATCAATTAAAAGGAATTCTTTTTGTTCGGATGCCATTATTGTTCTTTAAAGAAAAAAAGAATTAAAATTCGAATTTATCTCATGCACGCTCGGTCATACGTCATATTCGTTTTCCCGGTAAAATATGGTAGCATACCAGTACAATATGGCGTCGGATTCGTGACGTCATTATCACTGGTCAGTATACTGATGTATATTTCGGAATACACCCGTAATGATGCGCAATGTTGGCGACCAACGGGCGACCGGCCGCAAGTGCTCACACACACGCGCAATGCATGAAACTTTGCCTCCGAGACCTCTGTACTATCATGGTATCTATCTATATCGGCAGGTAATGGCAGAGGCGACAGCGCATCGTAAACGCCGCCCGATTGACCGATAGGCATAGTAAAATAACTGTAACGGATAACCTGTGCTGTGCAGCCGTCGGCATGCATCAATCTGTTATTTACAGTTGAGCGGAGGAATGTGTGATGTTTAGTTACTAAGAAGCATTTTTTTAACAATTTAAGTAACTGGTTAAAAAACGTATTGGGTAGTCTTAACAAAATTCACTCTCACAGACGCTTTCATTGTGATGACTATAGAATGAGACAACACGCGAATCTGAAAAGAGTAAAATTTAATCTAAGTATCATGATCAGAAACCTTATTTTGCAGAAAATCAATGTCTTAAATATAGTGTCTTTGAAGCAAAACGTCTAAAATGAATGTCTTAAAGGCAGGATGTTTATAAAGTAAATAAATAATTATATTACCAACACTCACACCAATTAGCCTAGCCCCAAAGTAAGCATTGTAAGGATTGTGCTGTGGGATACTAGGGTAACGGATAGAATACATATACTGTTACATTTACACATAAGTATATTTTTATAAAAAATACATATTAAACATCCATGCAAAACCACAAAACTTCAAATTCTATTCTGAAGATAAAGAAGCTTTAATTTAATAACTATTATAAGTGAAACGCGAGTTGGTTGAGCACTGATTTTAATTTGTTTTATAAATTTACAGATGACAATGCAATGTCTACGATTATTTACAAAGTATATTTATATAAAACAGAAAACTATAAAAACATGGTATAATAAAAACGGGTGATAAATACAAGTTGGTCGTAACAACTATAATTTGAAAACATATCAGATTAGATTATATAAAAAAGTTACTTTTATTTTTGTAGGCACTGTTACTATCCTTTTTAAGCAATAAATATTTTTGGTAAGCACAATTTAATTTTTAATAAAACTTATTATTAGAGACTTTCTGCTGTTCAGGAACAGATAATGCTTTTAGTAATTTAGCTTTTTCTGTGGCTTGTTTTCATAGACGTTTTGTAACTGAAAATTAGGCTTTGTAACCATTTAGATTTTTTGCAGTTTAGGTAAACTGATTTTAGTTATTTTGCATTCTAGGTGGCTAGCATTCATAGAAATTCTGCGAATAAGGCTTGTTATCATAATAGAATTAAAATAAGTAGATATTTCTGAGTGAGGCTGGTAGATATTACTACTGAATAAGCGTGGCATCATTAGATAGGTTATTTCATTACTAATCCTTGCCTTTTTCTACGGGTATCTAAGGCCCCGCTGAAGTCCTGATAGATAACGTTTTTAAATCACGCACGTTTGTCTGAATCACGCAAAAACTACTGAACGGATTGGGATGAAATTTGTTACGTATATAGTTTATGATCTGGATTGAGACATAGGATACTTTTTATCCCGGTTTATTTTTAGGTTTAAGGTTTGATTAAAAAAAAACAGGCGTTAGTGAGATAACACACTCTGATGTTAGCGACTGCTCCTTATTTCAATTTTATCACTGAAAGTTTTCCCTCAAGATTTGCACTCACATCAGAGAGATCGTATTGAAGTTGTATCTGATGAACAGTTTCACAAAAATATCTTTTGTTTTCGAATATTTGATCTTATGTAGCTACCAACTACTCATACGGAATCTTAATTCACATCGCAAAAATCTTAGCAAGAATGATTGAAATCCAGGGCTACATATAAGTACCTACTTACATTACAAGTCCAAAAGTAACTATACTTCAACTTTACTTAAGTTACGCTTTCATGCTTTAACTGCTTAACCGATTTTGATGAATTTTAATCTGAAGATAAAGAGTTGACGTCAAAATAAAATAAGTGGACATGATCTAAGACATGAAATGTAGATTTTATGCAGACGATGTTCGTTTCGCTAGTTTTACCTACGTACGCATGAACGCTTCTTTCTTACAAACTAGTACCTAGGTAAGTATTGTATACGAGTCCTAATTTCTTGCCTTCAAGACATCCTAATCTTGTGCAAAAATGCAAAACATCCCTTTTATTTCCATTTCACCGTAATATAAACTAGGCTAACCTATATCCACTCGGAGGAACTACTTTCTCTTGTCTTCTCTTGTCTCACGTAAGGAGACTCGGATGACACAGTAAACAGTGAACACTGCAACGCTGTCTACGCGAAGTGGCGACGACATGACAATGGTTGGTTATGCTAGCACAGGTTGTATTTCACGCACCGGGTAACATGAGGGGCCGCTGGTGGAGCTCTGCCGTTAATGGACACGTCCCGATTCGACACGAGTGTCAACCGCATCCTCTGTACGCCCAGCACCCGCCATTAAGTACTGCTCCAGTGGACCGTGAGCGCCGCGCCGATCCATCCTCCCCGGCTCCCCCTAAAAACCCACGTCGAAACATTTAAAAACCAAAAAGAACAAAAAAGTGTGAAATTACCTTAAGTGGCCTGTGTCTACGAAACACCCTTTTAAAATCAGTCCAATATAATAACGGTACGTTCTAAGTAAAGATAGAAGTGTAGATAAGTTAATAAGATTATTATTATACATCGGACCGGGGTCGGGGACCGGCTTTTAGGGACGGAATGTTTCCGAAACCGTGTATAAAAAACGACCGGACTCCCGGGATCGGCCATTCCGCGGCCGGACTGGGTGCACGCATCTACGTTCCGATAACGACGCCTTTTTTGTGTGAAGATCCTTTAATCCGTCGAGCGGAGGTCAGCAATCCAGGGCGGCATCTCGGGAAGGGCGAACGTTGCATCTGCTCTAGTTTTGTTTAGTTGCGATAAAGTTAGTGCGCCATGAATTCGGACACGAGCAGAATGGTGAGTCCATATACAATATCATCAGTTTCTTAATGTGACACATTTTTATTATGTAATAAGTGCATTTACATAACAATTTGTGAGTACAATAAATCGAATCAATTTTGTAAGCTCTACAAAGCGATGCTCCAATAAGTAAAAAGGTCAGAATGTTGTTTAGACATCGTTTGTGCTTAATCATTTTGTATTGACAGTAACGTTTACATTAATAGAATATTGAATGGAAGGCGATTATGAGCGCGCAAGTGGCTGACGGGCTCTCTCACCGTGTCATTGTCCAGCTTTTGTTGTGATAGTAGAACGCATATATTTATATTAAAAAGAAATGTTAAGGGTTGCGACGCAGCATGTTTATTCGACTTTGGGAGGTTTTTCGCTAACGTTACGAGTCTAGTTATAGTACTTAACCAACAATTATGATATATCTACGCACTTATAATTTTCCTTGCATATTTACTTAAAAATAAAAAATATGTTCATTGTTCTACATATACACTACAATTATATTGAAATAAATTATGTCCTCTATTTATACCATCTAAGGACACGGTTCAAAGTGGGAGACTCCAAATTTCTATGACATGTAGTGCAGTATATTGTAAATAGTTTGACCAAAAACTAGAATTTATTTTAACCCCTGCTTTTACTAATTATCATAATTTAAAATAACATAGTTATTGATTGGCAATTGGCAGGCAATTTATGTTATGTTTGTTACGAAAGCACCAAATTTATTCCATTCAATAGTTATCTGAAGCAGTGATAATGATTCCGTTCATATCTCATTATGTAATTAGGTATATTGCGGATATTGAATTTCAGAAAACCTATGAAAAATTGGTATAAAAATTTCACCACGATTTTACGAATATCGGGCATAACTGGACTAGTTGACATTATACAGTGATTCGAGTTAAGGTTAATAAACTGCTACAGACTAAAAATATGACGTTACATATGGTTACATATTTTAGCCAGCATTCTTACGAAATTGTTTAATTTTCAAACACGATTTAAATTAATCTAAGATATATAAAAAATAATAAAAATCTACGCATGTTATTACATAAAACAGGCTTTCAAATGATACATGTTTCATCGCTGCCGGAAACCGACTACCACTTAAGAAACATCTCCTTTAAAGTAACAATGATGTTTCTACCTTTAGCGGCAAAATATGTTACATAAACCTACTCATTTTATAAAAAGTTCGTCATTCCAACTGACGTTACCTTAATAAATTTAGTAAATAATTACTCAATCTTAATATAATAATAAAAATTAATATAAAAATAATCATTTTAAAGTTTTTCCAATAAAATACGGAAACAAAATGTCGTCGACCCGCCAAGAAGTAATCCGTATCGTGTCGTGAAACGTTAAAATAAAAATAAATAAAATATTCATGAGAAGTGATGAGATGTTGGTACCAGCACTCGGTCCATTTAACGATTATCCACGGACCAGCACAAATCACTTTATAATGTTCTTCTGGCAAATCGGCGGGAGATCTCTTGATGGCGCGGCGGTGCTATTGTTTGATGAAAGAATCGTAACATCCAACTGAATGCGTACAATGAGAGCTGTCTCCGCAGCTCGTCTTCATATTCGTGTTTCTCTGTGTAAATTGAATTGTGAAGATACTAGGTAGCTACGTGGGAACTTGTTGAATGATTAGCTCTTGACAAAATACAAAATGGGAAACGCAACTTAAAAAGAACAGTAAATAATGGTTCCGTCACACGATCTTTTTTAAAGTTTCAATAAGTGTATTAAACTGTTGATAGCAATTCACAACTACGTTCGATAAGATGATGGGAAAGAAATTTATTACTTTTTTGTTTTATCGTAATCTTAAATATTTACTTCATCATCATCATCATCAATAGCCCATTTTAGTCCACTGCTGGACATAGGCCTCTCCAAATGTACGCCACTCAGATATGATAGTCAAATAAATATTTACTTAGAGAAACAAAATTCTCCATCATTTTCATGTTGTGAAAACGTACTTTCTGGAACTCGAAGGAAACCTTTTCATAATCGAAAAGTAAATAAAAAAATAATAACATCATTATATTTTCAAGATATTTGATTGATAAAGGTGGTGTTTATCTAGACGTTGTAATTACAAAAATCATCACGCCGGCTGGCTGCGCTGTTATAATTTTCGTTAATAACAAGCAATCATTAATCTTCGGTCAAGTGTCGGTTATGGTATTTGGATAATCGGGTTCCACAACCCATGAGACAGAACAAATAGAAAACAACATGGGGCTATCCCTAGGGCGCAACAAAATAATTAACATAACGTTTGGTCTTGTTCAAATACTTCCCAAAGGATTTTTCTATATTCCTAATTAGTTATAGGAGAAGGGAATAAACATCTAAGTAGAACCAAGCTTATATTAAACAAGTAGAAAGTATCGTAAAATAGGATGTAATTATATTAAAGTTACGTGTCTTTTTAAAAATAGCGTAAAGTACGCCACATCAAGATTCACTTTTATCTTAGTTGAAATCTTATTATAGCTAGTTTAATTTATAACAAAGCTCGTGGCTATTATCACTTACATTCCAAAATGATATAATTCAATTTTCTACGTATCTATTTACTATCCGACGCGCTCCTTTTAAATATTACTGTTTTTTCGCCATGTCAAATGTTCATTTTTATATTTCGGAATAACTCATAGTACTTAATTGATATAGAATTTGTATTTTATAAGTGAAAATAGTAAATGATGTGATTGTTTATCGTTATCCAAATATTTTATGTGCACAAGCTCTTAAATAATCATTGTTTATTTTGTTAATGCCTCGCGAAATTAAATTGCTTGCGTTTTGTTGTTTTATTTACATGTTTAGTACAATTATTATTCAATAAACAAAAAAAGCTCCATAAAATCTGAACCACACCTATGTAGGTTAGGTATAGAAAATTAACCTTATTTTGCGTTCTCACACAAGTTAATTATGTTTTTTGTCTGTGTAGCTAATATTTATGCATTTTTATAAAAAGAAGAGTTATTAACGTGATTCCTTATTAAGTCATAAATGTAGAGTGAGTCGAATAAATAATAATGGACATCGTAATATATTTCTTAAGATGTTTTTTTTTTCTTTTTCCAATTACAAGATCAAAATAAAATACAAAGTACAAATAATTTCATTTTTATTTTATATTTACCACACAGATCACCTTGACTTACTATAATAGTAAGCGCGTCCTGCTTAGCTCAGAGCTTAAAATTAAATATAAAGCTATGTGCAACTCAAAACAGAAAAACTTAATTGCTTGTGTAATAATTGCGTTTAAACCATATCATATTTAAAGCTTAAATATATCATATTTTAACCTTAAATTAATGGATCCAATAAACAAAACGTTTTTCTTTCATTTGAATAATTTGAAATCCCACCTTGATATTTAGCCGACTCTATAAAGAAATAAAGTTACAATAGTCAGTCTTTCACAAATATACTTAAATGATTACTGCCAAAACGGAAAATATTAACCGGAACAAAAGTAACACTGTCGGCGACGATGCCAAAAGATTGTACCAAATTGTAAAGCTAAAAAAAACCAAAGTGTTACAATCTCGTTACAACATTGATACTGTCTGTGTTACAGATTAGATCGACGAGTAGGTATGTTTGTTAGATAGGCCATCCTCGTAACCGCACATTATACTTCTGTAAATAATGTCAGTACTGTTTTTTTTTTATTTTAATTTTCTACAATCTAGCGCACATTACGCCACTTACTTCCTACTAACACCAACTTTTATTTTGATTTGCCACTCTACCGCCCGAGTTGGTACTTAGGAATACTTTTTTTTTTGTTTCTCTATCTTTGTGCTGAGTTACGTGCTGGTTGACGTAACATAATTTGATTTAAATACAACTATGTGTACCTAATTGGAATGTTAAAATAACTGGCTCAGTGAGCGATGCGGTATTTAAAATTAATGTGAAATAAAAAAAATGTCGACTTAACTACTGGAGTGGAGTTCGCGTTTTCGAAACGGTGCCGGTTACGAAATAAAGATGCTTTTAATTTATTCATTATTTAAAATCTTATACTGACTAGCACATGTAGGTGTACGCTCTAAGTATATGCCGTTATTTGAATTTGATTAAGCGCTTATTCAATAACTTAGTTAAGTACCTACAATTAAAAGTGTTATAAATAATAATGGGTATGGAGACGGAGTACAGTAAACAAAATTCTATTTAGTCCGTTACTGAGATTATCAAAAAATAATGTACACATATTTTCGCTTTTACCAATGGACCAAAAAATTACAAACAAGGGCTCTTGACGTTACTTCTAAGTAAAAATTGTGCCAAGACGTGAGGTCATGCGACATTCCAAATCAATATATCCTACCTTGTATTGTTTTGATTTTGTGAAAAAATAAATAATACGAGTCCAATACTTTCCGATAATCTATCTGATAGACGAAAAAAAAATTAGTTATCATGCCTATTATGTTTTTTTAAGATGCTCTTGCTCCCAACGTGTCTGACTTTATAAGATTCTGCTTACAGAAATCCAAAGCAATGATGATTATAAAGATTTTTAACAGAATTTTCGCATTTCAGTTGAATGTCCTGGTGAGCCTGGCGGTAATCGCGTCAAGCCAAGCTTTCTTTCTCAAATGGGGATCGGATACATCGTAAGTACATTAACATCATAATTATTTATAACTATTAAGTTCCAAATGTGTATTTAGTGGACCGACGGTCTATCAAAGGTCGCGGGAAGCAGCTGGATGCGGACAGCATAGGTATTCTGTAAGATACGATCTCACTGACGATCTCATTTTTTCGGATTTCTGACAAACGTCAAATATCTTGTTTGACATAACGACATTTTGCCGTGTAATGGCTAAAATGGCAGATACCTAAATCGCTAGTGAGATTTTATTGTACAGTATCCCTAGCACGAACCAATATCGAATTCGTATCATTTGCGAGTCCGAAATGTCATTGTCAAATGTGTACTGATTTTTAGTTCTCGTTACGTACTTTGTGCCGCTGCTGTTCAAGTTTCCATACAAAATTTGACATTGACATTTCGGTTTGCAAACTATTCGAATTCGATAATGGTTCGTGCTAGGGGTACAGATCGCCCTACAGATCCTAGGCCCAAGCACGATGTTTGACAGCTCCGTAATCGTATCGTATCGTCAAAGTTTCTATGGGAGCTAATCAGCGCCCCTACCGGGCGTAAGAGCAAACTGTCTCCTTCCATATAAAATTTGACGATGACGATGCGATAACGGATCCCTAGGCCTATGCTCAGCAGTGGACGTCGTATAGCTTTATATGATAATGAGTTCCATATGCGAAGTTTTCATACAGTAGATACCCTTAGCACGAACCAATATCGAATTCGAATAATTTGCGAGTGCGAAATGTCATTGTCATATATACTTCAGCAGCACCTCCACAACAGATGTAACGAAAACTAAAAATCTGAACACATTTGATGTATAGAATAGATTGAATTCAACTATTCTTAGCACGAACCAATATCGAATTGTATCGTTTGCGAGTGCGAAATGTCACTGTCAAATTTTGTATGGAAACTTGAACAGCAGCACCACAAAATCCGTAGGTAACGAGAACTAAAAATTAGTACATATTTGACAATGACATTTAGGACTCGCAAACGTTACGAATTCGATTTTGGTTCGTGCTAGGGGTATTCTACTGACTCGTGTCTACTTAAACACGTTTCGATAGCTAATAAAATGCAATTGCGATGCAGCTGTGCGTAAAGCGTAATAAGTTAAGAATGATCGTGTCTTATAAAATGTATGTTATGTGTTATTAGGCAATATCTGTTATTCTATTAGAATTACTTTGCTAAGCGAAACAGTGTGCTTTTCACTACCGTATTTTTTGCTCGGAATGAATAATCATCGACGTTCATTCAACTACTTACAAACGCGATCATACGTTATTGTAATATTTGCCTCTGTTAGTGTGTTTTCGCAATTGTATATAAACATTTAAATGAAGAATAAGCAATTTTTGTCTATAATATTTTTAAACATTTAACTATTTGTATATTTATGTTTGTTTGAATATTTTTGGTCTGCGTTTTTTTCTAAAATATTAGCAAAATTAAAAAGATATTTTAATGAAAAATATTATTTAAATGTCAGCACTAATAACATGCAAGCTGTTATGAATTTTATTCCTCAGGAGTACAATATCTGTTTCTTAAAATGGGCTATTTTCTAAATGTTTGCTTTTCCACAATATGAGTTTTCGTTTCCTATAATGTATTCTGTCTAGAATGTCTGCTTCCTAAAATGTCAGATTCCTGAAAGGTTTCCTTCCCAACATATTTTCTAATTATGAATTACCAATGGAGTTATTTTCAGTAGTAGATACCAACACGTGACGCTGTTATCGGAATTTTCTGGAATAATATTTTATATAAAAGTTGTTCCTTTAGTAATCAGTTGGAAACTAAAATGGCGATTTCTAAATATAAATTTATTCATATATACAAATAATATCAAAACACAACCAAATTAAAAAATGCCAAAGCACCTGTTAGCTTAAAGGTTCATTCTGCTGCCGACGATATAAACAGTTGTAATGTATCAATTATTATGAAATACGTCACACAGCGCCTTCGGACTCGGCGTGTCATGTTCTGAAACGTATTTCAAAATAACTGATACATTACAACTGTTTATATCGTCGGCAGCGTCACGTTGCCGTCCCGTCCCGCTGTCTGCCTAAACCTTAATTATTTGAAATACTTAAATGCAAATTAACCTAAAAATTATGTACAAAAGGTGAACTTAACTTATTTTCACTAAGGAGATCATCGATTTCCTTGGATACATTTTAAGAAGGATAAACATTGTAGGAATGCTGGCATTATAAGATATCACACGTTTTGGTAAAATCACATTTTAGAAAAAAGAAAACATTTATTATAGAAATTCAGCCATTAAAAGAAAGCTCACATTTTGAGAGTAGCATATTTTAGGAAACAAACCCCCTGCACCCCAGAGATAATTTTATATGTAAGTTGAAATAAGATTGTTTAGATCTACTACTTACAGTATTTATATTCTTGAGCGTATATTTATATAACAGTCTTTGTTTACTTCAATTTCAATATAAAGATTATCTTAAAGAAAACTCCCTTTGCTATTGTTCCAGCAGACAAGCGGTGTCTCAAAAGACATGGATGCAGCCACCCATGTCGGCGTCCTCGTACCGATACCAGTACATCTACCCGCCATACGAGTCGCGGAAGGTGTACCAAATGCAACCGCCGCAGTACGCCCAACCTGACATGCCTATGCCTCAAAGCATGGCCCCCATTCCCATAAGCGTCCCAGCCGGGGCCAGTCTGACCCCGGTCTCCCTGCAGCACGTGCAACTGGTCCCGTGCATGTGTCCCGTCGCGCCCGAAGAAGCGGAGAAGCTCCAGGAACAAGTGGGCCCCGGCCCATACCTCGCCCAAACCTACTCCCAACCGTCCTACTCCGTACCACAACAGATCCAACAAGCAGCTGATAACAAAACTCCGAACAAACAGTGACCACATGCAACCCAAACACATGTGTGATCCCGCCAAATTAGTTCACTCTATAAACATTATTTATTTTCACTTATTTATGTTATAAGTAAAGACTGATAGAATAAGATGGTGTCGTGTACGTATTTTCATTTTAATAAACCAATGTGGAATTTTGTTGATGACTTTACAATACCTGTGTTCCTTGTTTCCAATAGTCGTCTAGAAGCAAGGGCGGATCCAGGGGGGGGGGGGTCATGGGGGTCATGATCCCCCCCCTGGGCTGGGTACAGATGGACCAAACCCAGGGCGATTTTATTTAAGTACTTTCAATATTTAATATACCACGACTATATGACCCCCCCCTGGCGCCAAAGCTGGCTATATGACCCCCCCCTGGCGCCAAAGCTGGATCCGCCCTTGTCTAGAAGTATCATTGTGTAATGAATAATCGCTCATGAACGGAATACGATATTTGCAGGCAATTTACGAGAATTGTTATTACGGCTTAGTGCTCTGATTTAAAATCTATTTGTTGACGCAGAAGCAACAACAAACCGAGTTTGAGCGATGCAAGCTCTTAGAAGTGTTATAAGGTAACCGATAGAATTAAACCATAAATCCAATTCCATTCAATGATATCCGGTTATAACCTGGGATAGAAAATGGTCACGAATTTGTCTTCCGCCAAGTACAACTGAGGCTGTATTCTTGAATCAACAAACGGTGTACCGTGATCTTCTTTGTGTCGTAGGTATCCTACTGGGACACAGAAACGATCTACGAACTATACTACCTACGTCTTTTCTGTGTACTCCGAGTCATAGAGTAGGATGAACGATGGCGACGATCACGATATATCGAAAATCAATTGTAAGAGTATTACAGGTTTCTGTAAAAAGGGATCGTTTAATATGAAGACCTCCGTGGCCGAGAGGTCTGTACGCCGGGTTTCATGGTGTCGCCGACTCGAGAGGTACTGGGTTCGAATCCCGGTGGGGGCAGATGTTTGTGTGATGAATAAGAACATTTGTATTCCATCATGTATGTTTAATATGTATTTCTAAATAAATATACTTACATAATTATGAACAGTATATGTATTCTATCCGTTACCCTAGTGTCCCATAAAACAAGCTTTACAGTGCTTACATTGGGGCTAGGCTAATTGGGCTAATTTATATTTAATTTATTTATTTATAAAAAGTCAAGTTACAAAGTCTTGCAAAATATTATTCAGTTGAGAAATCAGTATTTATTTAATGCGTAAGACGCTTGATGCTCTAGAATGGCGTGTTCGTCAGTGTCGTTTACTTAGATTTAAAATAGTAATGTGGATTTTTTCTATAGAGTGGTTTGTGTGTAGCACATCGGTTTTTGCACGAGCGAACGTCGGCGCGGCTGTCGGGGCGCCTGCTCGGAAAGGACAGGAAGTTACAATCGTTACGCAAACACTTTCATTGTGTTTTCGATATCACTTGAACGTTCGTTAACTCCATGTCATAATAAATAACACTATATTTTTACGCTCTGATAGCACAATGGTAACGAGCAGCGTGTCTATAATAATGTCATGTGTTTTGATTCTATCTGCAATCGGCCGATTGGAGGTTTGAGCTTGTGGCATATTTGGTAAGTATAACACAGGTATACCTTAACCGGCCCTCCCTCTTGTAGTTTTGTCCTACAAAGGGGGGGCGGCGGAGGGTTCTTGCACGGGTACGCCCAAGAAGCCCTTCCGCAGCTCATGGGGGGCGGTATGGTGGGCACTAGGCCGCGTACTCAGCCCCCACGCGCAGGCCTACCTGCGCACGTCTGCGGGGTCCCCGCAATACCTTGGGAGACCCCTGACGTGGAGCCCCGGCGAGGCCGCAAGCTGGGTGCGGAGTCGTGGTAGAATCTCTAACGGGGACCCCGCGGCTTCGCATTAAGCAGTGTAGAAGGTATTCGCAGAACCTTTTTAGCAGATATTATGCTGTAAAGCGCCCGTAAGAGTTGCGGGGTCCTCGGTGGTCGGGGGTCCGAAAGACTTGCGGGAGCCAGGTGTGAGGTCCGTTCGGCGGTGTGCCTCTTAAAGGCGCCGTCGTCTGTAAAAAGATATTCTACCTGCGTTATAAAAAAAAGGTATACTTTAACGCTACCCCACACGTGCGTGACTAAGCTTCGGGTGGCTTAATGCGATAAAATTCGCGTTAGAACATTGAATTAAGTACGTAGTCTGCACATACAAATCTATCGTTTTCCACAACCTCTCTTAGCTTGTCAAATAACCGCAAGCCAAGCTATCGTTTACCATCTAAAGACACGTAGCCCGCTTATGCATTACTACACAATTAATTCAAATTGTCAACGCAAATTTTAGCGCATTTGGTACCAAAGCTCAGTCTAAGTCAAATTGACGCAGCTTTTAATGCAATTCGCATTTAATGCAATTGGCATGGGTAGCATTACCCATGCTGCTTATTTCAGGCTGACGATGAGCGGTCATAAGACTACGTCTGAGGTACTTCATGAATTTGTAATTAAGTGTACTTAATGTTATAAAATTATAAATATTATATCAAAGGGTTTTATCAAAATGTATTTAGCCTAAACCGAATCAATCTATAGCAGTGTTTCCTAACCTTTCCTATACTGCTACCCATTAGGAACCTATTAGGAAAACAGATTTACCGCGACTTTAAAATATTATCATCAGTCCAAGAAATTCCAATGTGGCCGCTACATCTTCGTCTATAATAATGTCACCATCACGAGAGAATCTCGCCCCGCTTCCTACACTCAGCACCCCGCGGGCTCGCTAGCAAGAAGGAGCGCATGCTCTATTTAGTATTTTCTTATTATTTAGATTTGATCATATAATTAGGTTCTTTGTTACCCCCCAAGTATGGCTGATTTAGCCCCGAGGGGTAATTACCCCCAGGTTCGGAACCCAGGATCTATAGCTACACAAAGAGCTAAATTTAACTGAATATTTCCTATTTGATCATAAAAACCGGAAAAGTTCAAGTCGGCCTAACCTACCGAAGAATCAATAATGTAGGTAAACCTGTTTTTTTTTTAATGAGTGGTGTGCGTGAAAACTTAAGAAACAAAATAGGTAGGCAGCATAAACGGCCGTATCTTTGTTAAAAGCTTTTATTGAAATTGCAATGTATATATGTATTTATGTTTGTTCGGGTGGAATCTTGCAACTCAGGTTTTGAAGCAGAGGTCTTCATTCGATTGAGCTGAAATTTTTAAAACACACTTTTAATTTGGATGACAGTGCTCGGTGAGCTGTGTGACGTCATTCTAAATCCAAGATGGCAGACTAGTTATTTTTGATGCACTTCTACAACATGGGTATCAAATGAAAGGGCTTGCTGAGAATGACTCTAAAAATAAAGTGACGTGACGTTAAATCTAATATGGCGCACTAAGTTTTTTATGTAAACATTAACTTGAGAACTTATTTGGTTTAAATTTGAACTTGACATCTCTAGGCGTTCCCGAGATAAAGGGTCTCGAGAGACAAACAAATAAATCCATAAAGGCGGTATCTTTTTATTAGAACTTACTTACAACTTAGAAGTTTGGTTCTTTCGCAGCTTCAATCGGCCACAGACTTGAGTATATGGTTAAAATGTCAACTTGATACCTTCACGAGTGTCCGAGATAAAGGGTCTAGCTAGACAGACAACAAAGTGATCCGACTTTCACCTTTTGAGGTACGGAACCCTCAGAAGTGTACAGTGTTGCAATAAAAAGAATTATTCCTTGACCAAAATTGGGATTTTTCTGTACAGTCTCTATAATCAGTAGGTTTTTAATTTTACTATTATGAGGTTTGTTCAAAAAGTATCGCGAATTTTGAATTTTCGCGGGCTATGTATGTTCGATTTTTGATCTTTTGGTGGCGTTATATTGGTACTCATGACCCTCACTTATGTTGACAATTTCGGCCATTTTGAATGTCCAGTCAGTTTTTGACAGCTATTGTGCTTTAGCGTGTTTTAGCTTGTCTTGGATTTTCGTCTATTCCAAAAAATGGATCAAAGAATTTGTATCAAATTTTGTGTGAAGAACAACTTAAAGTGCGCGGACGCATTCAGAATGTTGACCGTTGCATACGGCTAAGCTACTTTGGACAAAAGCAACGTTTATCGGTGACACAAAATGTTCTCAGAGGGCCGAGAAGATGTGAGCGACTAAGAGCGTTCCGGATGCTTCCGGACGCCCGAGCACGTCAACAACAGACGAAAACATTGATGAAGTAAAGAAACTAGTATTGGCCAATCGTCGAATCACCGTCAGAGAAATTGCTGAGGACCTAAATAGATCGTGCCATTCGATTATTATAGTTTGGGCATGAGACGTGTAGCCGCGAAATTTGTACCAAAATTGCTCAATTTCGACCGCGAATTCTTGACCAAAAACAACACTCTAATAATGCCGCAGCCACCGTATTCCCAAGACGGCCCCCTGTGACTTTTTCTTGTTCCCGAAACTGAAGAGGCCCATGAAAGGACGACGCTACGCCACAAATGAGGAGATAAAGATGATATCGAAGGAGGAGCTAAACAAGATCACAAAAAAAGATTTTTCAAAATGCTCCGAGGATTGGAAAAAACGTTATCACAAGTGTATTATCTGATGGGGATTACTTTAAAGGGGACAAAATATATATTCATGAATAAATAAATAATTCTTGAAAAAACATAAAATTCGCGATACTTTTTAAACAAACCTCGTATATCGTACTCCAATGGATTAGAATTATGTTTAGATTGAAATTGAACCTACTAGAACTGAAAGATTGATTCTCTCTGTGTGATTATCTATGTGATTTTTAGTCTATATTTTCCATAGAGCAACGCAGCCACTCTACGCAGCCACCGCTCAGGCCCTCTGTTCAGGCCTTGTTGCTCTATGATCTTTTATTGTGTCATGTCATAACAAAAGATTTGTCAATAGATACCTCTGAATATAGATACCCATACCATGCAAAGGTTTAAGCTAGGACGAAGAATCTCGCTACGTTTAGGGATTAACGATAAAATATGTTTCTCTCATAAACTGAGTTCACCACTAAATGGCCCACAATTACAAGAGAAAATAAACGACCTTCATGATTATTATGTGCCAATGGATCTTAATTCAGATTATAAACAAAGAAAGGTAACGGCCATTAAAAAGCTGAACTATATTTTGAACAATTCAAACCGGCATAGTTTACAGGATTCTGAATACGAGGAATTACTGTTGTGCTCTCTTACTCTTGTATATTATTTTGGTATGAAACTAAAAATTAGTATGTTGACCTCAAAATATTGGCACTGGTGCGGTAAACGGTTGTTTCTCAAAGCGGAATCTGCTTTCCAGAGAACTATGGACCTACTGCAGCCAGAACTAAACGAGCCAGCTATGAAGATAACTCTAGCATTCTTCTCAGAAGTAGACCTTTGGCCGTTTGAGAATTTTGTCAGTCAAATATTAGAAGTGGTACTTTATTTCAGTGGCGGAAAGACGATGATTTTCAACCTGATGCTGACGGATATACATTGCGTGTTGTTTAGAGACGTCAAATCGGCTAGACACCGCATGCGAGTACTTTACGAATTACTCAAAAGCGATAATTGGATTATCGACAAGCAGAAGTTGCTACCGTTCGTGACGAGACTCTTGGATTTCTTCGCTCAAAGCATCACGAACAATGACAGGGTGACCGCATATGGATATTTAAGGAAAGGATTCGAGGTGTGCTTGCGTAGAATCTTCGTGCGCGTCGAGAATAAGCACCGCGTAATGATTATAACGACTATGCTGAATTGGTTTTCCCTTGTGGATATGAATGACGATGATATCTTAGAATTTTCCAACTTACTCGACCACGCCGCTGACCTCTGCAAGGTCGGCAATTATAGTGACAGCTTCCAACCGGGTTTGATCGAGCATATACTGCATAACTTAGTTGGATCTGTGAAGGATTCCTATAGCCTCGTAGGATCGCGCCTACTACAAAGGTTGTTTGATAGGCAACATAACGCTCTATATCTTGTTGTGCCAACACTATACTACGACTTTCAACAGGTTTGTTCAAAAATTTTGAGGTATCATATCACAATTAATATGTTTGATAGGTTAGGTAAACTAATAGTGCAGAATCAATTATAAGGTAATACCAAATGTGTGCAATTTTAGAGAATTGTTCGGTTAATATTTTTACAGGTTCAACTGAAAATAGGGAAATATGATTCCGGCGACAAATTGTTTCTGCTTCAGCACAGAGACGATCTCCACGAGAACATATTGAAGGCTATCAAGAATCATTGCTGCAACTCTGTTAACTTGAAGTCTGTGTTTTCTCTAATCTGCTGTATTACATTAGAAGTGCCGTGTGATTTATCAGCGGCTATGATTGCGTGTATGGCTATGGCTATTCAGGACTTCGCTTTGAACGGGGAAAATTTGACGGCGAATTCCCGATATTGGATGCATGCAATCGTCATATCAGTAATGTCCCTCATTTGTTGGGTGCACAAAGCGCCAGTTTTGTATCGATACGTTAATCAGATTATCGAGAGGCGCGCGAAGGAAGCTCCTCAATTGAATCCGCCCCTCCTGCATGCGTACAAACTAGGACATCATCACGTCACGTGGAATAAGCCAACTCTATTCTTCGAAGATTGGGAACTCAGATATGCACTATGGAAACACTTTCAGGATATTCGAGTACATATATTTTTTTATCTAACCAGGCTACATTTTAATCTTTGCCGTTTAGTAGATTATAATATCGGCATTATTTATTACAGCCATCGTTGTTGAAGCAAAATAGAGAGAAAATCGGCAAAAAAGTACCAGCGATGGATTTAATGAATTGAGATTATTAGTGAATTCGTATTTGCAAGAAGGCAAACAGGAAAGATTAAAGTTTTTTATAGTTACGAGGAAACTGTAAACCAAAGAGAACCTTAGAAGACCATAACCAAGCTTGAATACTTCAAGTAAGGCATTTTCTTTGTTATTTCTCTTAAGCGAACTTATTCAATAATAATCTATTATTTACATCATCAATCATCATATCAGCTGAACGATGCCCTTAACCGAACTAAAAACATTTTATTCGCACACTTTGGTTTCGGAATATCGAGTGCTGTGTAAAAATAAACTCCTTCATTAACTTTGAAAATATATTCGGCCTAGTACTGAAATGATTTGCCAAACTTAAATCTGAATTTAACAGTAAGATATCCACATATTTTTTAAGTTATATATATTTTTTCGTCAAAAGTTGTAAGTTGAAAAATCAAACAGAACTTAGGCAATCGGCTAATAGGTAATTAGAGTGCGCTGGGTGAGTTAGGTGGCATAAATATATTCATTATCATCATCATCATCGACTCATGCTCGTCCACTGCTGGACATAGGTCTCCCCTAATGCACGCCACTGCTCCCGATTTTCTGCCACTCTCATCCAGCCCACTCCAGTCAGCCTACGAATGTAATCATCCCATCTTGTCTCATAAATGTATTAAATGTTATCAATTAAAAAATAGCAAAGCGAAAGATATAATCAGAGATATTAATCGTTACAGCACAATAATTCCACGACAAGGGACAATTTGTGCTCTAAGCAGCATCGCAAAAAGTGAACATCGTGTGAAAATAATCAAAACAAAGAAAACAGATGTTAACTTTCCAGCTATTTATCTATCTACACATGTCAGCGGTTAGGATTCGGATATAGTGTTCCATGGCGGAAATTTAATTGACGTAATCTTCTTCTTGTACATATAAAAGGCCACCAACTGGCTTCATCAACGCACAGCTCAAACCACAACGGATTGCGCTGAAATTTGGCATAAATATAGCTATTATGATGAAAGCGTGCGCCAGCGCACAAGGATATAAAAACTCACCCCCTAAAGGAATAAAAAGGGGTTTCAAACATTTCTATGGAGCACCAAGACCATATCATCACGAGATTGATCCGTTAAATAACCAATATTTCCACGTAAACGAATTCATGATCATCCGTTACTTATTTGCTAACATGTAGATATTTTAAGCAACGAGAGTGATTATTAAGAATCATAGTTATAATGTAGACAACCATTTCGTTTATTTATAAACTTCGTAGCTTACTACACCTATACCCCTAGCACGAACCATTATCGAATTCGAATAGTTTGCGAGTGCGAAATGTCATTGTCAAATGTGTACTGATTTTTAGTTCTTGTTGCGTCCATTGTGGTGCTTCTGTTTCAGTTTCCTTACAAAATTTGACAATGACATTTCATACTCGTAAACTTTACGAATTCGATATTAGTTCGTGCTAAGGGTACTGTATTTTAAGTCTATTAAAAAGTGGTTCAGTTCAGGTAACTCCCTGGCTGGGTGATCAAAAATCAACTATATCTCAAGTTGCTACTCACTATTTTTGCATTTGTTAGCTCCTAAAATATAATACAATAGCGGTTCGTCTTTCTTCAAACTACCGTCTGTTTGAAAGGTCATTTCCCAATACTGGGGTAAATAAAACATTTTTGTTCACGGTAATAATTTAATACCATTAAACAGTTTTGTTTATCCAATCAGAAATAGTTTTTATTTCGGCTTACAAAGAATAACTTTTTCCGTTCTCTCGCAGAATCAGAAACAGTTTGACAGTTTTTTATGTAACACTAGCTGTGCCCCGCGGTGTTACCCGCGGTTTATTAGGGATAATTTCCAGCAGTAAAACGTAGCCTATGTTTTAGTCCATGATGTCAGCTAACTCCATACCTATTTATTATTTTTATTTTCAACAAAGTTATATTATTAGTGTGATAAATAGGTACGATTATAAATAGTTATATGAAACTACAATTCGCTCTCGCTCCCGCTTTACACGTACTCATAGCTTTAATATAGATAGTATGGCATGGTAATGACAATGTGGTGCAGCCTGATCAACTCCCATCGGTTTCACTCTTAGAATGGCTTCCATAGCCATGGCAATCATAAGTATTTAGCTAGTAGTACGGAGTACCTAAAAAGTAGCTGCTTATTGTTTTTATCACACACTAGTGGTCCGCCTTCGCTTCGCTTCCGTGTAAATGAAAAAAAACGTGTTATAGAAATATCACTCAATAGTTTACGACATGATCGCGATTACATACTTATGTCCTATTATCTTTTTAACCATTCGTCCGAATTATAGGCCGTAAAAGGGATAAGTCTTTTGGGTTAAACATTTGAGACGATTTTACTTCTTTTGATAAGAATAATTGAGTGACCTAACGATATTTGAAGTGAAAACTTCTTTAGCGGCGTTGTACACTTTTCTTTTTGAATGAGTAAAAAATGTTAAACTCGCGTCAGGTTAAACACGTGGGCTGATCGCATCATGACACACAATAAAATTGGAAAGGTTGTTGACTTTCAATATATTGGACGAAACATAGTAATATTTTATTTTACCGTATTATATTAATAATTCTCTATCTAGGACGTCCACGTGGCAGCTTTATTGCGAATAAAATGCATTTTTTTACAATAGATGTCACTAGCTGCGCTTAAACGTGATTCATGTAAGTTGATTTTTCTGAGAGATAAACTTTATTAATGTAATATAAATTTGTCATGTTTGTTTACGATAGCGCAATAAATAAATATTGTATTGTACCTACCTAGTACTTTTATACAATTAATTAAAGCAATTCGTGCAAAATTATTCCCTAACCCAGCTATACTCTAAGTGTGTTCCGCGGAACCCTAGGGTTCCGTGATACCTCTGTCGGGGTTCCGCAAGAATTTAGAAATAAAAAAATCAAAACACCTCTCTCTGGTCGCTCCGCGGCTGTGCGGACTCCGCGGCCGCGCGGAGACAAAACGCTATGAATGTTATTTATTTATTTATTTGTATTTGTATAAGCTTGTGTTACATTAGCTGGTACAATATCTCATAAGTTTGGTCTCAACAATTTTATACTTGTACAACGCGTTCGCTCTAAGTTTGCCGGTCTGTGGAATGCGCGTACCCTCCCCCACGTGACAACAAAACTTATAATGTGTCATAGTTTTACCCAAATATCTAACGTACACAATTTTTATTGTTACAATTAAATAAAAAATTTCGAACGTCATACACTCATACCTATCGCCAGCGGCAAACTTAAAACGAGCGGGTAGTATACTTGTAAGCGCTCAGTCTCTTTGATAAAAGCCGCCTCTGAATTAGACGCTATAGTTGTCAACTAGCGACTTTCGTCTCTAACTTCAAAGGATAAAGTCGATATTGTTTACAACGCTATTTTTAAATTTCTGTTTTTATTTTTGCTTTTTGTTTATCAAAGGTGCCGACTCGAGTATTTTCGAGAATATTTGAGATCGAGTCTAGGACTAAGTATAAAAGCGGCGATCGCGCGTTGGCGTCGTCAGTTGATGATTAGCGTTCGGAGCGATAAGTTACTACCTACTTACAAGCTCGCTAGCGAGAAACTGGTGTTCATTGTTTTACTGCCTGCTGTATTCTGTTGTCTCAGTTTTATACATTTCTTCCCTGTAGGTTCTAAATTTAGTCTCTTATACGCAGTAACGATTGTGCATTATTTAAACCCCACTATCCTGACTTGTAACATTATAAATAAAGAAGAATGGAACGTTGGCTTAAAGGTGTTAAACGTGTTCCAACAACATCTTCTAATGACGCTGAATGTTCAAAAGCAATGCGCGCGGAGAATTTAGCAATCACCGATCCAGAAGATGATGCCACGAGTGCCACGACGTCAAGCTCGACGGTTTCAAAGACGAAAAAAAGGAAGTATGATGAATCTTATATCAGTTTCGGATTTGTTGATTCCAACGGCTCACCTCTCTGCATGCTCTGTAGTAAACTGCTTCCTAATAGTTCCATGGCACCTGCCAAATTGCGTCGACATTTAGAAACCGTACACCCCGAGACTAAAGACAAGAATAAAGAATTTTTTGTTCGCAAAAAAGATCAGTTATTAGAAAGTCAAAAAAATATGATGCATGTAACACAAACTACCAACGAAAAGGCCACGGAGGCATCATACTTAGTTAGCTATCGCATTGCACAAGCAGGTGAAGCGCACACTATCGCTGAGAAATTAATAAAACCATGTGTATTAGACATAACAAAATGTATGCTTGATGAAAAATCTGCAAAGCATCTTTCTACTGTTCCGCTATCAAACGATACTGTTTCACGACGAATCCATGATCTGGCAAGCTACGTCAAACAAGAACTAGTTACACGTCTACAAAATACACGATTCGCTTTGCAAATGGACGAGTCGACTGATGTCGCTGGTTTGGCTATCCTGCTGGTTATTGTGAGATATCCATATAAAAGTTCTTTTGAAGAAGACATGCTTATGTGTTCATCGCTGCTTACAAACACTACCGGGGAAGAAATTTTTAATAAAATAAATATATTTTTTGAAGAACATAATCTCAGTTGGAACAATTGCATTGACATTTGTACAGATGGGGCCAAGGCGATGACAGGTAAAACAGCAGGAGCAGTGTCACGAATGAAAAATAAAGCGCCTAATTGTAGTTCCAGTCATTGTATTCTGCATAGACAAGCACTTGCGATGAAGCAAATGCCGTCTAATCTAAAATTAGTTATGGATGAAGCGGTAAAAATAATTAATTTTATCAAATCACGACCACTACAATCCCGATTGTTCTCATTATTGTGTGAAGATTATGGCAGCAAACATAAAACACTGCTGCTCCATACAGAAGTGCGATGGCTGTCTCGGGGAAAAACTTTAACAAGGCTATTTGAACTTAGAGCCGAGTTACAAATGTTTCTTTCAGCAGATACTTCTTTTAATTTGAAGGACCGTTTGTATGATAAAACTTGGTTGTTCCGATTGTCTTTTATGGCGGATATCTTTCAAAAACTTAACGAATTAAATTTATCATTGCAAGGTAAACAGACAACAGTGTTTCAGGCCTATAATAAAATAACTACTTTTAAAAGAAAATTAGATTTTTGGATCATTTGCATTGGTAAGAAAGAAATAGAAAGTTTTACGTTACTCACTGAGTTTGTTAGCGAAAACGACTCAGAAATGTTTGAAGATA